CTACGTATAACCCCTGTTGCACAGACATTAAGGGCAACATTGAATAAATGGGACCTTCTAAAACTGAGAAGCTTCTGTACAGCCAAGGACACTGTCATTAAGACAAAAAGGCAACCTACTGATTGGGAGAAGATCTACACCAACCCCGCAACAGACAAAGGTCTGACCTCCAAAATAAATAAAAAACTCAAGACACTAGACTTTAAAATGCTAATTAGCAAATTAAAAATGGGGTACTGATCTGAAGAGAGAATTCTCAACTGAAGAAGTTTAAATGGCCAAAAGACACTTAAGGTCATGCTCAACTTCCTGAGCAATCAGGGAAATGCAAATCAAAACAACTTTAAGATACTATCTTACACCTGTCAGAATGGCTAAAATCAAAAACACCAATTATAGCCTTTGCTGGAGAGGATGTGGAGTAAGGGGTGCACTCATTCATTGTTGGTGGGAAGGCAAACTTGTGCAACCACTTTGGAAATCAGTGTGGCAGTTTCTAAAGAAAATTCGGGATCAACCTACCCCAGGATCCAGCAATACCACTCCTGGAAATATACCGAAGAGATGCTCTATCATGCTACAAAAGTATTTGTTCAACTATGTTCATAACAGCATTATTTGTAATAGCCAGAGCCTGGAAACAACCTAGATGCCCCTCAATGGAAGAATGGATAAACAAAGTGTGGAATATATACGCATTAGAGTACTAGTCAGTGGTAAAAAAAAATGACAACTTGAATTTTGCATGCAAATGGATGGAAATAGAGAACACTAGCATGAGTGAGGTAATCCAGACCCAAAAAGATGACAATGATATGTACTCACTCATTAGTGGATTCTAGACATAAATAAAGTATATTTAGCCTATAATTCATGATCCTAGAGAAGCTAAATAGGAAGGTGTACCCCCCCCCAAAAAAAACACATCTAGTTATCCTCCTAGATATTGGAAGTATACAAGATTTCCAGGCAAAAATTGAGAGCTTGGGGGTGGAACGGGGGTAACTGGAGAAGGGAAGAGAAAAGTGAGAAGGGGAGGATGGGGAGAGCATGGGGGAATGGGACAGTTGGGATGGAGGAGGAGTGGATATGGGAGCAGGGAAGTATATATCTTAATTAAGGGAGCCATTTGAGGGTTGACTGGACCCTAGAGGGGTTCCCAGGTGTCCAAGGAGATGTCCCCAGCTTGTTCCTTGAGCAGCTGAGGAGAGGAAGCCTGAACTGACCCTATACTATAGCCACTCTGATTAATATCTTGCATATCACCATAGAACTTTCATCTGGTGACGGATGGAGATAGAGACAGAGACCCATATTGGAGCACTGAACTGAGCTCCCAAGGTCCAAATGAGGAGCAGAAGGAGAGAGAACATGAGCAAGGAAGTCAGGTACCCGAGGGGTGTGCCCATCCACTGTGACGGTGGGGCCAATATAATGGGAACTTACTAAGGCCAGGTGGAATGGGACTGATGTAGCATGTGATCAAACCGGACTCTCCGAATGTGGCTGATCTGCATCCTTGAAACAGCCTGCTCTAAAGTTTCTATCACCTGACCTGGAGCCATTCTTGAACTAGCCTATTCAAAATTTTAACAGCTGCAATGAGTCATCAGCTTGGGTCTACCTTTTATTATATTAGCTTATATTATATTATATATAAAAGTTAGTAGCAAGACTGATGGTGTGGCTCAGCAGTTAGAGCCTTCTTGGCAATTCTGAGAGCACGGATTCCGCCCCCAGCTCTAGATAACAAAGGCTATTATAACCACTCCTGCCTTGCGATTTCAGTGCCTTTACTCCTTTATTTTCTACCATGGATCTGGTCTCAAAGGGATACCCCTGAATCAAACATCCATACGGAAAATAAATTAAGGAAATATTTTACAAAAGATCGTTTTAAATGGGCTTTTTTGTCTGTGATTCTGATGGTGTGACCTCATATGTTTTTGCTGATCCTGAAGACAATGCCATGCCCAAGGTCTAAAGATAGTAAATACTCTTTGGATTAGTGCCTTTCCCATGTAAAAACACAGAAGCCAAATCGCCCTCCATATCCACCCTCTTCATGAGTATTTCCCTAGCCCTAGTCTCCCCAGGGCCAGTTACCAGGTAAGTCTGGACTCACCCACTGAATTCATTTAAATTAACCAGTCTTTAACCTGCTCACCTAGGCGAACACCCTTCCTACCCACACAAATCACAACAAGCAGACTTTTCTATTAAAACTTAATAACAATGTGGCCAAATTCTTTCTGAGAACCTATGAACAATAAACTGTGTTCTCAGGAATCCCTATAAGCACATAGGTTAATAGAAATAGGTTAATTAAGGCTCTCTGAAGTAGCTTAAAAAACACGTCCAAGCGATTGACTGAGCATATACAATTAATAAGAAGTACCTGTGTGGTTATTTGGGAAAAGTCCAACTTCAATACGCAAACATAGCTGCTTGTTGTAACTTTCTAAAGCATTATGTAATGTCCAGATTCTATAGGCATTCAACCTGTAGGAGCAAGAAGGTTGTGGCTTTTGCCCTAATCAAATGCTAAACAATACGCAGTTCTTTAAATGATGTAGGGAACTAATAAGGAAATGTAAAGACTGAGAGACTAATGTAAAGTTGTACAGACTGGGATATAGCTTACACAGGAGATTCAGTTTTCAGCATAGTCACCCTTAATAGGATTAAATATTTAATGATATACAAATATATTATCAGTAACTATAAAAAAGTGAACAAAATAACTAACAGACCAACTTCATTAAGATACATGCATTAAAATATTTATCAGTAATTTTACTTGGTGATTTATAACTTCAGCTACTCTAGAGATAAAGGCAGCAGGGTAGAAAGTTCAAAGCTAGCTTGGAATGCTTACACAGACCTTAACTCAAAACATTTTGTTCAAATTCAAAAGTGCTAGAGATGTAGTTCAAAATTACCTCACTCCAGTAATGAACAAAAAGACACACAATTAAGTAAATAGAGAGAATTATAGATTCCTAATAAAGGGCAACTATGTTTTTAATACCAGCACTTTGAAGGGAGGCAAAGGTAGATGGATCTCTTGAGTTCTAGGCCAGCCTGGTGTACATAGCCAATTCTGGGACAGAAAACACTACCAAAGGAACCCTGTCTCAAAAAAAAAAGAAAAATAGTCATTATTATTATCACTATTCTTTTCTTGTGATGTTGGGAGCTAAACCCAAGGCTCAACACAGGCAGCAATTTCTGCTTGGAAAGAAGTGTGATGAACTCAATTATTATCACAATCATGAAATGATTTTTCCAAACAGTTTTGCTTGTATGCACAAAACACACACTTTGTGAGACCGATGTCAGGCTCTGTTTCACATATGAAAATAATTTATGTCTTTACAGATGAGATGCGTGAATTTATCTAAAATAATATGTGAATTTGCCAAAAAGTAAGAATGAGGGTCTCTTTTCCCCCTCTAACCGACAAGACAATTTTTCTCTCAAAGTGTTCAGGGTGACAAAAAAAATAAGACAGGTTATTGAATTCTGCTCCAACTTCTGTGCACTTACATTTTCTTTGAACCACCTGGCTCTATCATCTTTTTTTCTATCATCTTTTTCTCTAACATTTCTTCCTCTAACATCTCTTCTTCTATCATCTCTTGCTCTATCATCTCTTTCTCTATCATATCTTCCTTTATCATCTCTTCCTCTATCATCTCTTTATCTATTATCACTTTCTCTATCATGTTTTTATCATCTCTTCATCTTTCATTTCTTTGTCTATCATCTCTTCCTTCAACATCTCTTCCTTTATCATCATCTCTTTCTCTATCATCTTTCTCTATCTCTTCTTACTCTATAATCTATTCCTCTATCATCATTTTCGTTAATATCTCTTCCTTTATCATCTCTCTGTTTTTCTTTCTCTATCATCTCTTTCTCTAACATCTCTTTATTATTTCTTTCAAGATCATCCCTATCCTCAATAATTTCTTTCTCTAGTCTATCATCTCTTTCTCTATAACCACTCGATCACCTCTTCCCTCTAGTATCTTTCTGTCATCTCTTTCTCTATCATCTCTTCCTCTATTAATTTTCTATCATATTTCTCTATCATTTCTTTCTCTATCATCTCTCTATCATCTCTTCCTCTAAAATCTTTCTGTCATCTCTTTCTCTATTATCTCTTTTCGTATAATCTCTTTCACTAACACCTCTCTATCATCTTTCTCTTTCATCTTTTTATCTACCAACTCTTTCTCTATTACCTCTTTCTGTTTCATCTCTTTTTCTATCATCTCTTTCTTTATCACTTCTTTCTCTATCATCTCTACCTCTATCATATCTTTCTCTATCATCTCTTTCTTTGTCACCTCTTCATCATCTCTCTTTCACCTCTTTTTCTATGATCTCTTTCTCTATCATCTCTATCCTCCATAATTTCTTACTCTAGTCTATCATCTCTTTCTCTATCCTCTCTTCTGCCATTATCTTTCTGTCAACTCTTTCTCTATCATCTCTTTCTCTTTTGTCATTTCTGCTATTATCTTTCTGTTATCTCTTACTCTATCACCTTTTTCTCTATCATCACTTTTGCTATTATCTGTCAACTTTATCTCTATTATCTCATTCTTTATCATCTCTTCATCATCTCTCTTTCATCTCTTTCTTTATGATCTCTATCTCTATCATCTCTATCCTCCATAATTTCTTACTCTATTCTATCACCTCTTTCTCTATCAACTCTTCCTTTATTATCTCTCTGTTATCCCTTTTTCTATCATCTACTCCTGGATCATTTCTTCCTTTATCAACTCTTTCTCTATAATGTCTTTTTCTATCACCTCTCTATCATCTCTTTCTCTATCATCTTTTTCTCTATCATCTATTTCTCTATCATCCCTTTCTCTATCATCTCTTCCTCTATAATCTCTCTCTCATCTCTTCCTCTATCATCTCTTTTTCTATCATCGCTTCCTCTGTTATTTCTACCTCTATCATCTCTTTCTCGTTCATACCTTCTTCTATCATCTCTTCTACTATTATCTCTTCCTTAATAATCATTTCTTTCTCTATTATCTCTTTCTTCAACACCTCTTCCTTTATCATCAACTCTTTCACTGTCATCTCTTTCTCTATCATGTCTTCCTCTATTATCTTTGTCTATCAGCTCTTCCTTTATTATCTCTCTGTCATCTCTTTCTCTACCATCTCTTTCTCTATAAGCTCTTCCTCTATCATATCTTTTTATATCATCTCTTTCTTCATTATCTCTTCACCATCTGTCTTTCATCTCTTTCTCTATGACCTCTTTCTCTATTATCTCTATCCTCCATAATAACTTACTCTAGCCGGTGGTGGAGGCACAGGACTTTAATACCAGCACTTGGGAGGCAGAGGCAGGCAGATCTCTGTGACAAGGATGGAAAAAAAGATAGGGGAATCCCTGGGACTCACTGGCAAGACAACCTGACCTAATGGGAAAAACTCAGTATCCAAAAGAGATTTGTTTCAAAGAAACATGTTGTTAGGTCCTATGTAACTAAACTCAAGGTTGCCCTCTAGGTTTTACATGCACAAACATGTACAAGAATGCCTACATGTATAAATGTTACTGTGTACACATAAATATGCTCACCCCCCTGTACAGACAGAACTGTACACAAATTGCATTAGGAAAAAAGCAAAAAAAAAAAATTCTCGGGTTCATAGTATTGAATTGCTAGATTAAATTAAATTGGTATGCAATCATTTTCTTACAGTCAGAGGTTTTCTCAAGTGTCTCCGTGTGGCCTGTCACAAGTCCTCACTGGATCCTTATTTGTGGTCCAGGATCAGCACACAATGCATTTCATAAAGAAAAAACAAAGAACTACTTAACCTTGCCTGGATTGGAGGCTCACAATAATAAATCCTGGCACTAGAGGGCAGCAAATGAAGACTATGAAATTGAAGGCCAGTTTGTGCTGTACAGTGAGACCTTGTCTGAAAACATGAGAACAGTCAAAGGTTTGCTTTTGTAAAGCTTTGTTCAGAAGTGCGGAGGGAAACTTAGGGCAACAGCCTTAGTTGGGGTTTCTATTGCTTCAGTGAAACATTATGACCAAATTATCTCTGGGAGGAATATGTTTATTTGGTGCACTTCCATAGCACTGGATGAAGCTAGGGCATGAACTCAAGCAGAGTAGGAACCTGGAGGCAGGAGCTGCTGCATAGGCCATTGAGGGGTGCTGCTTACTAGCTTGCTCATTATGGCTTGCTCAGCCTGCTTTCTTATAGAAATGAGGACCACCAGCCCAGAGATGGTACTAGATGCCATCCCAACCAAAAAAAGCCCAGGACCTGATTGATGATTTAATGCAGAATTTTATCAGAACTTCCAAGAAGACCTGATACCTATACTCCTTAATGTGTTTCTCATAAAAGAAACAGAAGAGTCATTGCCAAACTCTTTTTACAAAGCTACAGTCACCCTGGTTCCAAAACCACACAAAGACCCAATCAAGAAAGAGAATTACAGACCAATCTCACTCATGAACATCGATGCAAAAACTCTCAATAAAATTCTGGCAAACAGAATCAAAGAACACGTTAAAAATATCCATTATGATCAAGTAGGCTTCATCAAAGAGATGCAGGGCTGGTTCAACATATGAAAATCTATCAATGTAATCCATCATATAAATAAACTGAAAGAAAAATCCATATGATCATTTCATTGGATGCAGAAAAAGCATTTGACAAAATTCAACACCCCTTTATGGTAAAGGTTTTGCAGAGGTTAGGGATACAAGGATCATACCTAAATATAATGAAAGCAATATACAGCAAGACAACAGCTAATATCAAGTTTAATGGAGAGAAACTCAAATCCATTCCACTAAATTCAGGGAGAAGACAATGCTGCCCACTCTCACCATATCTCTTTAACATAGTTCTTGAAGTTCTAGCAATAGCAATAAAACACGATCAGGAGATCAAGGGGATTCTAATCTAAAAGGAAAAAGTCAAACTTTCATTATTTGCAGACGATATGATAGTGTACATTAGTGACCCCCAAACCTCTACCAAAGAACTCCAACGGCTGATAAATAACTTCAGTGAAATGGCAGGCTACAAGATCAACTCAAAATAATCAGTAGCCCTCCTACACACAAAGGATAGAGAAGCAGAGAGGAAATTCAGAGAAACTTCACCTTTTACAATAGTCACAAATAGCATAAAGTATCTTGGGGTAACTCTAACCAAGGCAGTGAAAGATCTATTTGACAAGAACTTTAAGGCATTGAAGAAAGAAATTGAAGAGGACACCAGAAAATGGAAAGACCTCCTATGATCTTGGATGGGTAGGATAAACATAGTAAAAATGGCAATTCTCCCAAAGATAATCTATAAATTCAACACAATCCCCCATCAAAATCTCAACAAAATTCTTCACAGACATTGAAAGAACAATAATCAACTTTATTTGGAAAAACAAAAAACCCAGGATAGCCAAAACAACCCTATATAATAAAAGAACTTCTGGAGGCATTAACATCCCTGACTTCAAACTCTATTACAGAGCTACAGTAGTGAAAACGGCTTGGTACTGGCATAAAAACAGAGAAGTAGATCAATGGAATCGAATAGAAGATCCAGATATTATCCCACAAATTTATGAACATCTGATTTTTGACAAAGGAGCTAAAAGTATACAATGGAAGAAAGAAAGCATCTTCAACACATGGTGCTGGCAGAACTGGTTGTCAACATGTAGAAGAATGAAAACAGATCCATATCTATCACCATGCAAAAAATTCAAGTCCAAATGGATTAAAAATCTCAGTATCAATCTGAACACATTGAACCTGATAGAAGAGAAAGTGGAAAGTAGTCTACAACATACTGGAACAGGAGATCAATTCCTATGTATAACCCCTGTAGCACAGACAATAAGAGCAACATTGAATAAATGGGATCTCCTGAAACTGAGAAGCTTCTTTAAAGCAAAGGGCACTAGCATTAAGACAAAAAGGCAACCTACTGATTGGGAAAAGATCATCACCAACCCCGCATCAGACAAAGGTCTATTCTGCAAAATATATAAAGAACTCAATAATGGAGGTGGGTGGTCCTTGGACTTCGCACAGGGCAGGGAACCCTGATTGCTCTTTGAGCTAACGAGTGAGGGGGACTTGATTGGGGGAGGGGGAGGGAAATGGGAGGCGGTGGCAGGGAAGAGACAGAAATCTTTAATAAATAAATAAATAAATATAGAAAAGGATGAAAAAAAGAAAAAAAGAACTCAAGAAACTAGACTTTAAAATGTTAATTAACCCAATTAAAAAATGGGGTACTGAACTGAACAGAGAATTCTCAACAGAAGAAGTTCAAATGGCCAAAAGACTCTTAAGGTCATGCTCAACCTCCTTAGCAATCAGGGAATTGCAAATCAAAACAATTTTGAAATATCATCTCACACCTGGCAGAATGGCTAAAATCATAAACACCAATGATAGCCTTTGCTGTAGAGGATGTGGAGTAAGGGAAACACTCATCCATTCCTGGTGGGAATGCAAACTTGTGCAACCACTTTGGAAATCAATGTGGCGGTTTCACAGGAAATTCGGGATCAACCTACTCCAGGATCCAGCAATACCACTCCTGGGAATATACCCAAGAGATGCCCTATCATACTACAAAGGTATTTGTTCAACTACATTCATAGCAGCATTATTTGTAATTACTAGAAACTGGAAAAAATCTAGATGCCCCTCAATCGAAGAATGGATGAAGAAATTGTGGAATATATACGCATTAGAGTACTACTCAACGTTAAAAAAAATGAAAACTTGAATTGTGCATGCAAATGGATGGAAATAGAGAACACTATCATGAGTGAGGTTATCCAGACCCAAAAAGATGAATATGGTATGTACTCACTAATTAGTGGATTCTAGCCATAAATAAAGGACATTGAGCCTATAATGTTGGAAATAGGCAAGATTTCCAGGCAAAAATTGAGAGCTTGGGGGTGGGGGTGGGACAAGGGTAAGGGGAGACGGGGAGAGAAAAGCGAGAAGGGGAGGATGGGGAAAGCATGGGGGTATGGGACAGTTGGGATGGAGGAGGGGTGGATATGGGAGCAGGGAAGTATATACCTTAATTAAGGGAGCCATTTCAGGGTTGACTGAACTCTAGAGGGGTTCCCAGGTGTCCAAGGAGATGTCCCCAGCTTGTTCCTTGAGCAGCTGAGGAGAGGAAGCCTGAACTGACCCTATACTATAGCCACTCTGATGAATATCTTGCATATCACCATAGAACCCTCATCTGGCAATGGATTGAGATAGAGTCAGAGACCCATATTGGAGCACTGGATTGAGCTCCCAAGGTCCAAATGAGGAGCTGAAGAAGAGAGAACATGAGCAAGGAAGTCAGGTCCTCGAGGGGTGTGCAAATCCACTGTGACAGTGGGGCTGATCTAATGGGAATTTACCAAGGCCATGTGGACTGGGACTGATGAAGCATGTGATCAAACCGGACTCTCTGAACATGGCGGACAATGAAGGCTGATGAGAAGGCAACGACAATGGCACTGGGTTTTGTTCCTACTGCATGTACTGGCTTTGTGGGAGCCTAGTCTGTTTGGATGCTCACCTTCCTAGACCTGGATGGAGGGGGGAAGACCTAGGACTTCCCACAGGGCAGGTAACCCTGACTGCTCTTTGGACTGGAGAGAGAGGGGAAGGGAAATGGGGCGAGGAGGTTGGAAATGGGAGGAAGGGAGCAGGTGAAAATTTGTAATAATAATAAAAATAATAATAATAGTAATAATAATAATAATGAGAAGAAGAAGAAGAAGAAGAAGAAGAAGAAGAAGAAGAAGAAGAAGAAGAAGAAGAAGAAAACATAAAAAACATTGAGAAAAAGAATCTACACACATTCCCATAGAGTGGCTCAGTTTTTCTTTATTTCATACTCATTTGTCAAGGGTTGCAAACATGAACAGACAAACAATACAAGTTTCCTGCCACTCAGATGCTTAATATTTCTGTGGCTTATCTGTGTATCCAGAGTGTATTAGTGCACAGAAGAAAGTTGTTTACCCTCTTGTGTCAGGAGCCATTTTCCCCCCAAAATTATTACAGGAACCATCGCCC